CCCCCACAACCACTCTCCCTGTAAGTATGTACCCCAGGGACATGTTTCGAAGGCAATGGCATCACACTCTTGGTTCTGCACACGCTGGACATCAAACGCATTCCAGACGCCAACGATAGGGGCAAGTCGAAGAGCAAAATCAATGCCATTGAACCCTCCGAACACTAACAACTCGAGGGGCGTGAGTGGGACCCCTGGACAAGCCTTCATCGGTACTCCAGCACATCATATTGGCGTCCCCAAAGCCGAACCTGAAAATGCCGAAAACAAAACGCACCCACACAAAATAAGCGTAATGCGATGAAACAGAGTGTGGATTAATGTGCGAAGGTCTTACTTGCTACGATGTGTAATGGCGACGGTACTCCTGTCAAGCCCGTACGTGCCCTTGTTCTCGGCACCGCTCAGTCCATGTGAATACACTGATCATAACACCAAGCGCTCAAACCTCGGTACTTCTCCACACGCAGTGATACGACACTTGGCGTCTTCTTCGCCTCCAAGCGGTTGGCTGTTTCAAGTGGTGTACCTTGTGCCGCCCTGGAGTGCCTGCATCTCGTCTACAGGTTAGCGAAGGAGAAAAACGCGGACGTATGCCTAGGTGCATCTCCTGCACGACCATCCAGACCGTGGCCATGGTCATGAATAAGCACACACAACGCCAGCTGAATGAGACTAGATCGAACGCTCGCGCAGAATACTAATGGTGCATCCCGCATCACTTATTGTTTGGGACACCGGCTTGATAGCGCACTATACGTTAAGCCGTGACACCTGTTGTTTTCGATAATGCTTCACGTCAATCATGCCCTCCTTCGCGTGTGGAGAGCAGAATTCCGCCTTCCTGTTGACAGCGTAACCATATGACGGCTGCTTTATGCAACCTGGGTGGCCGCACCTCTTGTGAACGACACTAACCATACCCTCCTTCGCGTGCTGAGAGCATAACTCCGCCTTCCTGCCGCCGATGTCACCATACGACGCCTTCGTCATGCAACCTGGATGGCCGCACCTCTTGTGGCTGACACTATGCATGCCCTGCTTTGCGTGCTGGAAGCAGAACTCCCTCTTCTTGCTGCCGGCGTTACCATATGACGGCTGCTTCGTGCAACCTGGATGGCCGCAAATCTTGTGAACGACACTAACCATACCCTGCTTCGCGTGCTGGGAGCAAAACTCCATCTTCTTGCTGCCGGCTGTGCCATATGACGCCTGCTTCATACAACCTGGATGGCCGCACCTCTTGTGATTGACATTTACCATCCCCTGCTGCGCGTGCCGAGAACAATACTCTGCCTTGCTGCCGGCTGTACCATACGACGACCTAGCGAAGCACGCCGGGTGACCGCAACTCTTCATGCGAACGTTTACCATACCCTGCTTCGCATGTTGAGAGCAAAACTTTGCCTTCTTGCTGCCGGCGTCACCATACGACGGCCTGGTGGAGCACGCTGTATGACCGCACATCTTGTGAGCGACATTAACCATGCCCTGCTGGCGATGCTGAGCGCAAAATTCCGCCTTCTTGGTGTTATCTTTGCCGTACGATGGCCTCCTTGAGCAGCCGACCTCCTCGCAGCTTGGTTGTTTCCGTCCACGGTGTCTGGCGATCGGGAGCGTTGACTGCAGAAACATCATGGTTTAGAAAATTTCCGAGCAGAATCCGCATTCCAGTGTTAAATAGGTGTTGTTCCCACAAGTGTGCTAGCGACATCGGTGTTCCACGGAGTTTCGAACAATCGGGCAGCAGCGAGGGACACTGCAATGCATCACGCGACCCCACTGACGTCGTGTCCCTGCTTCCTCTCCAGATTGGCTCAGACTGTCTTCCATATCGGTGTCGCCTGGGGTAGAACGGCCGTCGGCGTCCATCACCAGTGTCTGTACACCGTGTTCTTCGTCAAGGCTACGATCGCCGTTGTCCCAAGTTCACGGGAGATGGCCTCATACTACAAAGAAAAAGGTTGCCTCTCACGTGAGCACTGCCCAAAACCTTTGTCTAGCCGTGTCTCTCTCCGGCTGCTTTGGGTCTATATTGCGGTCGGTGCTTCAAGCGCGACTTCCTCGACGTAACGCGCACTTTAGGTTTCGCACCGAACGCTCCCACGTACGCCCTTTCATTCTAAACCCGCCTGGAGGGACGGGATTCGTCTCGTTGTGTGAGATCGTGCCTCTCTCGACCAATTGCACCGGAAATCACCCTGTTTCCCTCCGTGCAAAAGGCCTGAGAGACATCGAAACAAACCAGCTTGGCTGCGCGAAACTGCTACAATTACGGAGTGGTTTCGCTGTTTCGAGTCCGTCATTAGAGAGAACGATCAACGTGAACCTTTGACCTGCCAACTTGGAATCTTGGAACACGTTTCGTGTACAAAGTTTCTTGAATGGAATAGGAACGCGTCAACACGACGACGCTGACATCCGGCAGTCCATAGCCTCGACGTCATTGCGCTCATCGTTGTTTCCTCGACTACGGGCAGTCAAATGTACGCTTTACAGACTCAACATGCAATCCCCGTCAGTTTCTTTGGAACCAGTTCAAAACCAAACCTTTAAAGAGTAGTTACACGAACATTTGGAAAACTACGACAACATCTGCTGGTTCAGCCTGGCAAGGGTAGCACGCGCTACCGATTTCTTCTCAGAACAATTGTATGGTTTGGCCAGTGCTCGATATAGCCACTACTCAAACGGTTCGCGACATCAGCCCACACGAACCTATAAAACATACACCAACACACCATCAGAGCTGTCCGGCAAGGAGCCACAGCAGTGTGAGCAACGTCACCAACAAACCAAAGTAATGCACGCATGGGCAAGCCACACCCTCACATTATATATATTAAAAAAACGTCGACACATACCAATCCCGCCGTCTTGTGTGCAGCCGCTGCCCCACCACCGCCGCATTGCGACTTTGTGCCTGGCGTGGAGCCCTTCCCTTGGCGCTTGGGTGAATCGCTTGTGGAGCATGCCACCAAACCCGAACAATAACACAGGCGAGGGGTGAGAAAACAACAGCAAGGGTTGGAACGGCACGCAATTGTACAACTGAAAATCGAGTTGAAAATGACACGGTGGGCCAGAACGTTTGGGCAGAGTAGAGAGACGCATGCAAAAGAAGGAGCCGAAACATCAATTGCTAACGGGACTGTCCTCTTGATCCGCAGAAGCTTCACTACCGCAGACAGCTGGCCCAATTATCGGCGTAATGGCACTACATCACTGATGTGGTATTCTTTGTGGATGCTTGGTACGGGAATACCGAAGGAAGGCGCACAAAGCGAGAGAGGGGGGTGATTTCTTGCCGTTGGGGTGTGGGGGGGTATCGTTAAGCATTAGAAACGTTCTTCGCACGGCGAACACAACAAGCAAGTGCCGTGTCTCATGGCAGCACCGCCTTTCTCTACAGGTGTGCCGCTCCAATCATCACTGGTGCTGCTACACACGACTGCTGTTCGCCTTCCTTCCTGCACGTGCTTAGTGAAAGGTCTATGATTTAACGCAGGCGCTGCATGTTGGCTTGTGCGTCTGACTGCCAGCAGAATTTATCGAGAGGGTGACATGCTTGTAAGGGCAATCACCCCGAAGAGCAGACAGACCAAACTATGTGCTCTCTTGCCTTCTACACATCTACCGCTGCAAGTCGTTTGTAAATGGACGCCGTACTTGTCGAGATGTCTCGCGAGAGAACGGCTTATTTTGCTTCATTCCAGCAGATACTGGAACATGAATACCATGACCATGCCTGGACAGAGAGGTACTCAGTCACGCGTCAGAGGAGAAAAATATAGTACGTACACCATAGAGAGGGCATTCTGTCGGCATTACTCTGTGGCTCTTGTAAATATTACCTCAGCATTTAGTGCGGGCCATTCGCAGCTATTAGAATCTCGTGTCTCGTTATCCTATGCCAGATTGGACTACCGTTTGAACTAATAACTTCCAGACAAGACGACCACAAGCTTGTCGGCGCATACATGGCACGGTGAAAACCAACAGGAGCAGTAGCCACCGGTGCTGCATGGGTATCAATCGCTGCTTATGCCACCGTTCTCGAGTAGTTTTGCCCCCCTACCGCCGAGTTTGTGCCAGGGTCGTCTTTGGACCGCGCCGCCCAGGAGGTTCACTGGCCGCAGCCGCAGCCCCATGCAACCCTAACCCGCGCAGCCATCACCCAAAGGCTAGTCGTTGTCGTGCCGCGCACTACACTTGACTTCAAGATATGAAATTGGAAGCGGTCAGGACACACCCACCCCACCGATAGTTCTGCGGACTTTCCCAGATTAAGATTTCATCCGAGTGCAAAGCCTTGCGGTGCCAATCTGTTTGAGACCCAGCCTAACCATCCCCACATCTAAACATCTGGGCTTAGGGGGGGTGTTCGCCTGATCGTTGGTGAGCCCAATAGAGAGCTCCCCGGCATGGCAAGGGCCAACGGAGGGAAAGACAAGGGCACAGCGCACCACCGTCGTGCTGATTGTGCGTTTTTCCTCCGTGGTAGCTTGGAAATATGGTTCTGTCTACTCTAGACAATCTCAAGCCGTTCTCTCGCCTCCAGAGTGTGGAGCGGGGTTGATCAGGCCGGCCAGAATAAGCACCGGCGATAACATTCCCAGGCTTCACAGGCGCGTGAGAAAACGTTACTCAGGTCAATGTTACATGTAGGGTCATACTTGGGCACACAGCCATAGCCGAGTGGCCCAACTCAAAAAATATGAGAACTAGGTCACGGGTGTGAATAGCCCCCAATCGATTAAACTTGCAACGCAGACGCGAGCAACACGTATTTAGTGAGTATGCACATCAATGCGGGAAGTCACTGCTGAACCCTTCTCCCGTGAACGTTGAACGCCTGCACCGCAGGAAGAACGTGTTACAACATTCGTGTGGGCCGAGCTGGTGTGTCAAACATGTAGGGTATGTACACTGGTGGCGCCCAGCACAAGATGGGACGGCAAAATCAGAACCAAGATAGTGGCACCCATTCTGACCTAGCTTGTGAGCGATTTGGGTTATGCCTTCCCGCCCCCCGCCCCCCTCAATGCCGGTGTTTGCCATCGGGAGTGGGTTTTCGTCGCTTGGCAACGACGTTGTAAAACAAGCCAATTCGTGAGCTCGGCAACCAGGTTACCGTTTTCTTCTTTGTACCTCCGGTTTTCTTTTGGCGGTAACCATAATGGTGGTCGAGTAGATCATGTTGTGCGGGGT